TTTTTTGAAGTGAAACTTCTTTAGCGGCGGTTGGTTGGTTGGGAGTAAATTGGCAAATTCAACGGAAATTACACACGGAAATGGTGCAACGGAAATGGTTCGAATTGAAACAAGTGCTTCTTGAGTGTATGCACATCGTATAAGTTAAAAAATAAATAAAATAAAACGTTAAGGAATAACACTTAGAGAAAGACAAATACAAGGATGAAAGTAAATACTTTTTATCGATATAGTTATTGGTTTTGTTATCGATGTTGTTATCGATTTTGTTATCGAATTTAATATCGATATTTTTATCGATAATTTAGCGATTTTGATATCGATTTTTTACTGATTTTTATCGTTATTTTTACCGATTCTCTAATCGATTTTGTTATCGATTGTATATAGGTTTTCTTATCGATTGCTTATCGATTTTGTTGTCTATATTTTTATAGATTTTGTTATCGATATTTTTATAGATTTTTTAATTGATTTTGCTATCAATATTGTTATCGATTTTGCTGTCGAAATTGTTATCGAATTTGATATCGATATTTCTATCGGTTTTGTTATCGACATTTTGTTCGATGTTACTATCGATTTTTTTATCGATAGAGTATAAAGATAAAGGAAAACAGAGTAACATAAATGTAATTAGGATGAACAGGGACAGATGTAGGATCTGCATAGAAAAAAGACTAAAGTATAACCTTAAGCAAGGTTAAGCAAGACTCACTAATCACAGTACAATAAATGTTCCTCATTAGTTTCTCCTACCATCATTCATTTATTTTGCCTCAGCTGTACATAAATAGCTACCAATTATTTTTTCCTTACTAATCCGCCTACCTTTCTTCACACTCTTTCTTACAGCAGTACGCGAACAATCCAACGAATTATCACAGACTGCCATGGATATTATAACGATCGTTTGGTATGTAGCCACATTTCTGGCATTGGCCGCCTTCTTTCTGCTCATGGCTTGCTCAGATAGACGCTGTACGGAGAATCGCGGCAATGTTTTGGACAATGAAACACAAATTGCCCCACCCACACCATCGCCATCGTACAGCGAGTTCGCACCACCCAGCTACGAGACAGTAATCAAAATGCAACATGATGCTAGAACTAGCGTATTTGTTATACCGTTTGGGCCTGGAAGCAAGGATGTTAGCACGAATAGCAATGGCAGTAGCTTGCATACACCACAAACAACACCAACAACGCCAGCGATAAATTACTACACAGTGAATGAATTGGAGAAATTGGGACATTAGTACTGAAGATAAGCAAGCAGATAGCTAGCTGACTCTAGTTGGCGTGAAATTATTAAAAACAGCTTGAGTGCTGTGCGTATGGGCACAATCACCAGTGATAAAAAAAATTTCGTTAAACGGTGAAAAATCCAAGACAATGCCAAGTCTCAGATTTACTATTTTAATTAAATCAACGAACAAGTGCGAGTGATTTAGCCATAGATAATAACTAACTCTACCTGCGAACATGTGTACCCAAGTACACCTACATATATATATACGTATGTATATATGTATGTACATATGTACCTTTATGTGCATACATACATACATATGTATATCCAAAGCAAAGAAAAAGATAATTGTCTCAAATGAACTGTGATATTATTAGTTAAAGTCGCATATTTGTATGTTTGTAATGCTATGCATATTTAAGTAAGTTGTGGCTGTGTAAATTTGCATTGTAATTAGCAGAGATGAATAATATTTACAATAGCCACTTGTGTACATAGAAACATATGTATGTACATACACACTACACTTATGCATGTACATACGTAACTCACCTTGACAATCGTCGATGATTGCCATGCCATGCGTAGTTACATAAATCGTTGTAAATATGTAAATTATTAGACATTTAACCTTTTTATTGTTTAAACTGTAGACATATGTAGCTTTACATGTGTAAGCCAAAGACTGAATTAATTGCGAAAGTATAGAAATCTAATATTTTCCAGTGTAATAAGTCGGAGCTTTAAGTTTCTTTACTATTGGATAAGAAACTGTAAAAACACCAAAATTTTATTTACAAAGTAACGAAAAGTACTTTGAACTTGAAAATTATTTAAAACTTATTTATTAAGCGCACAACGTGCGAAAAAGTATTATGTAATAGTTTAAGAAAAATTGTTTAAAATAAATGAATTTAATTTGAAAAAAAAACCAAATACTTAAAAATTTAAAACAAAAATATGCCTTTTTAAATTTACATGCCGTCTTCCACATACCCAGTAGTTTGATGACTGTAATCATTAGTAGACTTTTAACCGAAGTATAATTCCTGGAGCAGAAGTTTTGGAGCGCCATTCACTTATTCTATTCAAGGTTCAAGCAGCTTACGACATCCGGTGTTTGCAACAAGTATCCTCTCCGTAGCTACCGAACACAAGCGAGCTAATGCAAAAGATAAGGCAAACCCTCCAGCAATAGGTTTTTTGCTGGGTTAGAGATTCGCCACTTTAAAAATTCTGCCAATGAAAAGCTAAATTCAGCCTCGGACGAGACCCCGTTCATTTGTTGAGTACCCCCATAGTAATGTCAGCCTCGAAATCCAACACAGAATCACTCTTGTCAACAAGTGCTATTTTAGACTAAATAGGCAATTGAAAAGTAAAGCCTGATATAGGGCGTAGAAGCATGGACTATGAAAACATGCAGAAATAGAGATTTTTCGGAATAAATACGGGCTTTTACGCGTTGGCGACGGCTAGTACGCCGTAGACGATGGAACAATGAGCTCTATGAATGGACACAGACGCTCCAGCCCAGAAAGCATTAAAACGAAATCCACTGTGGTAGCCGAGGAAGAAGAAAGCGTCCAAAACCAAGTGTAGAAGGACTTGGCTTCATTTCACTTTTCCAATTGGCGTTAGCTGACACAGTAGAACTCGTGCTTTATTTAACTCGGCCAATATTGCTTATGTAGTCTTTTCGTTTTTTTTAATGCCATCAGATCTGCACCGTTCGTTCGATTTTCTAAAATAGAGATGTCAAATTAAAGTTCTCTGCACTGTAGATGTGTAATAAAAGATTATTCTTTTGAAAAGTGTTGCTACTTATTAAAAAATTTGATTGAAACTAGCTAATAAGTTAAATTGATTATTAAAAGATAGGTATCAATCGAAATGGGGTTTAAAAAGGTTTATTAATTAACTACATGTAGGAGGAGGGTTGCCACCTGTTTAAAAAATCAAACTGAACTTGAATTAAGAAAACAGGTAATTGAACTACATACATATGTATCACAACATGGGTGTCAGACGAAAGGGGTGTAAGTAGGTAGTAGTGGAAAATATATTGAATAGGGTTGCCACCTGTTAAAAAATCGAATAGGGAAATAAGGTAATAGAAATATGTATCGCCATATATAGTATATGGGAATCAGATAAAAGTGGTTAAAGTAGGTCGTAGTTTGCAAATGTTTTGAAAAATTAAAATATTCAAAACACAAACCCCTTCTTGACCCGCCACTGGCTGGTAGGGTTTAAAAATCTTACAAATAATAAAGCGCTGTATGGTTTTGAAAAGCCAGCTTCCTCACTATTACGGCCAAATTAAGCAGTTATTGATAAGTGTAAGTACCAATACGATCTCAGTAAAAATAAGGCTTATATCATGTTAAAATTACAAATAAAATGAAAATAAAAACGACTTTTACTCAACCTCAAATAGTAGGAGTCCACTTTGGAAACAACTGGTGAAAGATCCATAACGTTAAACAAGTTTTATTGTTGCTAAGCTATTTGGCGCGCACCTGAGTAGACTGACTACCTAAATATAAATCAAATATCAAATTTGTGGTTATATTTGTAGTACATAAGTACTGATTAAATTTCGACATTTTGCTAATAAAAGATTTACCGGCATAATGTTTCGTTGATAAGAATTTCGCTTGGAATTAAAGCTATGGGGAGAAGCACATAACAGTGTGGAGCATATCTTGTCCTTAAAAACACTTTGTTTGTATCTTAGATAAGAAAAAACTAAAAATAAAAGTACTTGACGGTGACACGCGTTAACAAAGAAATATAGGCCTGGTAATGAAAATAATGCTTTATACAGCCATATTTATTTTGTAGTTCAATAAATATTTGATTTCATATCAGATTTTGGTTCACTAAATTTGCGTCATATTCGATGAATGAAGTCTTTTGTGGCCATCTTCAGTAATTGCTATCCTCGTTGTTTATAGCCCAATATAAAAAATTTACAAATCTGTAAAAATGTACCAATCGTATGATACGGCCTTTAGAGATCTGAAAATAATTGAGCAATTAGTTTCTTTTTAACCGTTGACAAACTTGCTGTTTATGTTTGCAAAGCTTGGCCTGCTATTTACTTTTTATATTCAACAGCGGAACGTTTAAGCAGCGAAAAGATTTTATAATACATGTAAATTTGATTTTGACTTTGGTTCTAAGATTTATTCTTTTACTAGTAAAGAAAAGCAAAAAAATATATAGACCTTTTTTTTCGTCAATTACCCCTTTTCTGCGACTTTCTGAAAATTTTCAACGACAACACTGGCTCAGCTTATTTAGTATCTAGATTCTAGACTGTAAAAAAAACTCTTACTTGGGAGCCAATTTTCATTCTATGAAAACTTGAAGAACTTACTATAATAGTGCGAACCCGGCAAACAAAAGTTCTCGAAATCTTTACGAAATATTTAGCAGTATCTCATTTTTGTAAAGATTTTTTTTACGAATCTTTAAAGAAAATTGTATGAAGTGGTTGACACGAACTCGTAAAAAAATGTCTGTACGAAAAATAAATAAAATTTTAAAAATATTCTGCGAGAAATTCTTCACATAGCACCATTATTTTCATCGCTTTACCGATTTGCTTCCGTAATTTCACTAAGCAATCGAAGTGTGCATAAGGCAGTATTATCATACTTTACCTTACAGTATTAGGGCATAATATTTAGTAAACCTGAGTTTTTTGTTTTTTACCAGATAGTCAGAATTTTTGCCAAAGGACCATAAATTATAATATCTTTCCAAAAGATTAATTATAACTTTTGTGTTCAATTATCCTTTTGGAATATGTCAAAAATGTCCTTTAAAAATATATCCTTCAAGATTTTGAATTTCTAATGCCTTTTCCAAGAGGATATTAAGGATACAAATTTCAGGGGGAATTTAAAAATTTTTGTAATTAATACTTGCACATTTGTTCCTTAATCAACCCGGGAGGACATGTCAAACACTAAAGCACTTTATTTTTAACCGACTTCCAAAAAAGGAGGAGGTTATCAGTTCGTCGGAATATTTTTTTTTTTTTTTTTATGTATGTTACCGCATAACTTTGCACCACGTCAACCGATTTCAATAATTTGCATAGGAAAGGTAGTGTCTCAGAGGTGGTCCCATACTAATTTGGTTTAGATCCGATCATTGGATCATGAAATATATAGGTATATATATATTTTTTTTAAGTCGGGTTTTTTTTTGCTAAAAATTACTTGTGTTTATTTAATATTATGAAAGGCACTTTCTTAAAGGAGGAAAATAATTCGTTATAAAAGTTGAATTTAGTAACTGAATGTTTATCATACGCCCTGTCAGACCAATTAAAAAATGTTCTACAATGGCAAATTTTCGGGACATACACAAATTATTCGACTAGAAAATACATCGGTTTGCAGCCTTGTAATACACTTTTACAAAGCCCTCTGTACTTTTCCCATAAATTAATTTTTTGAATGTTCTTGGGAGAAAGGCGTTCAAATATGGGAAACATATCGAAGTTTTCGCATTTCTAAAGTTTTCTGAGTCAACTACGTACTGTGAATTTGGCCCTTAGTACAAGTTATTAACTAAAATTTCAACCAAAATTCGGCACGGGTTATCGATATTTTATGGCCATAAAACTTCATGTATATGTTATTAAGGCTAAAAATATGGGTTATACTTCCAAAAAAGGAGGAGGTTATCAGTTCGTCGGAATATTTTTTTTATTTTTTTTTATATTTTTTTTATGTATGTTACCGCATAACTTTGGACCACGTCAACCGATTTCGATAATTCTTTTTGCAACGGAGAGGTAGTCCCATACCAATTTGGTTAAGATCCGATCATTGAATCATATGAATATATAGATATACATATTTTTTTTTAAGTCGGTTTTTTTTTGCTAAAAATTACTTGTTTAAATATATTCTTGGAAAAGTCTGGTGTGCGCTCATCCATGCACTCGAAACGCATATGTGTAGGTATGCTTGTACCTACTTACATACATACATATCTAACTTCAATTTGCATTGTGATCAAAGGCGTTAATAATTTCTTCGTACAATTAATTATTAGCTATTTACTATGGAAAATATGTTATTAACAACTTTGCAACGTAAAAATAAGAAAAAAGCAACTGGTTAAACTTGAAATCACATGCAGTTCAATTTGCGGTCAAATAGTTTTCTATTGTTGTCGTTCATGCATGCTGATGCGATGCTATGCAGTGAACTTGGAAAATAGAGTTCTATGAAAATTCATGAGCCCCAACACATGCTATTAATTATTTAGAGTTAATATATGTAAGTGCTCTATTAAGTTAAATAAAAGCGTAAATAAATTTGTTTAAACTAAGAAAACTTTGTAATTATTTCAACTGTCGCAATAAAAACATAGGACTGACTACTTATTATAATCATTTTGTAGTGATGCTATAAATAATATTTTCTGATGCTATTATTCATTGATAATTATCTTAGTGGAATATGATTGTGAAACTTGGAAATCCACGTTAATATCTATAAATCAAAATGTGAGTATCAATGAAATAAATTAAAAACTGGGTCATATAGCAAAGCATAATTTCATAGACCTTGATATAAATACATAATTCTGTACATATGTATGTATTGTGCTTTATGATTTGATAAAACAATAGAAAAAAAAATTAAAAATAGATAATGCAAATCTAATCTTATGACAAAAATCATCTCAATTACTAAAAAGAAGGAAAAATGTCTAAAGGCCCCATTTTTCCCCGTTCTCGCGTACTTTCAAAAATGAACATGGAGCTAAAAGCGCAGTTACTCACGGACGTAAAAATGGAGAACGTGTCAACTGACACGATTTATCTTATGGGGTCTTGCGTGTTAACAAAAACTCACGACCGCATGGCCGTAATGTAGAC